TATATATCAGAATTTTTTAGGGGATGTTTATTCTTACTTACGAGAGACTAATAGCCTATTTAAAATTGAAAAAAAATTAAGGATAAATCTCTCAATAAAAAAAATTGATAAATAGTCATTAGGGATGATAGATTGCGCAAAAGAAAATAAATTACATACAAAAAAAGTTAAGTTACACAAAAATAGATATTTGTTTATTTAATTTAAATATAAGAAAAATGACTTCTACATGAGAAAAGTTTAATTGCACAAAGATAGGATGTCACACAACTCGAGAGGGATTATGTATATAAAAGAAGTTAAGTTGCACGAAATTTTTAAAATCTTTTTATCAATTAATTTTTCAATAAGAAATTTATCCCGAGTTTTCCCTATAAAATTTTTAGTATCAACTTTCCCTTTTGTTTTCATTAATTATTGATTAGCCTCATTTTATTGATTATCCTATGTGCTTATTTTCTTTCACTCAAGCTATTTCTCATGAGACAAATAGTAATCTTAATATATTCCCAAAAATATAATTGTCCGTCACATATGAGTTTTAGTTGTTTCCAACGCATGCTACCCAACTTATGTAAGAAAGTTATTACTTAGGATAATCGCTATAAAGTTGTGAAAAAAAATATAATCATAAAAAAGTTGTAATTACAGATGAACATTAACCTTGTTGATATCTTTTGTACTGCAACACATCATTAAATTATCATGGGACTTTTTAATAATTGTTTCTTACTTGGCACCACATAGTGATTTTGTTTTATTATTTTTATGGGAAAATTTCACTTAAGTACCATAGGTAAGAATTTATATTAGTCAACCCCTAAAATATTTTGAAATATCACTGCAGGATTAAGGGACCAAACTAAAATTCAAAATTAAGAGTAAGATTACAATAATGCCCTTCACTTTTATTTTTTTAAAAAATAAATATTAATGGTCGCCGGAGTCTGCCCACCGGCGCCAATAGGTTGGACCTCCGGTAGCCGAAATTTTTTATTTAAAATAAGGTGGCCAAGGGAAGGTTTAAACCCATAATCCTTTGGCACACCAAAAGTGATGTAACCACTAAGTCAAGCAAACCATTCAATTATATGACACAAATAAAAATATATATAACAAAACAAACGCAAGGTCTAAGTATAAGTAAACAAGTGAAATTCGACAGTTTACAAGTAAAATTCAATAATTTCCAATAAAAATTTGACAATTTACAAATAACATAATGGAATTCACAACCCCAAATGCAAGTGTTTAAGTGCAAATGAGTAAGTAAAATTTGAAGATTTACAACAAAAGTTTATGGATTTACAATCCAAATTTGGCTATTCACAAGAAACATAAGATAATTCATAACCCAAAATGTAAGTATTTGAGTGTAAGTGAACATGTGAAATTCGACAATTTACAAGTGAAATTCAGCAATTTACAACAAAAATTTGGCAATTCACAAATAACATAATAGAATTCATAACTCCCAAATGCGAGTGTTTAAATGTAAATGAACAATTGAAATTTGAAGATTTACAATAAAAGTTTATAGATTTACAACCTAAATGTGACTATTCACAAGAAATATAAGAGAATTCACAACCCAAAATATTTGAGTATAACTGAACAAGCGAAATTCGACAATTTACAAGTGGAATTTAGTGATTTACAACAAAAATTTGGCAATTTACAAATAACATAACGAGGTTCACAATGCCAAATACAAGTGTTTAAGTGTAAATAAGCAAATAAAATTTTCGTTGTAAATACTGAATTTCACTTGTAAATTGTCTAATTTTACTTGTAAATTCATAAACTTTTTTTTTTGTAAATCTTCAAATTTCACTAGTTCATTTATACTTAAACATTTGTATTTGGAATTATGAATTCTATTATGTTATTTGTAAATTGGCAAATTTTTGTTGCAAATTGCTGAATTTCATTTGTTCATTTACACTCAAACACTTAATTTTGGGTTATAAATTCTTTTGTGTTTCTTGTGAATAACCAAATTTGGATTGTAAATTCATAAACTTTTGTTGTAAATCTTCAAATTTTACTTGCTCATTTGTACTTAAATATTTACATTTAGGGTTGTGAATTCCATTATGTTATTTGTAAATTGCTAACTGTTTGTTATAAATTGTTGAATTTCATTTATAAACTGTCGAATTTCATTTGTTCACTTATACTTGGATACTTGCATTTGTTTTGTTATATATATATATATATATATATATATTATTTGCATCATATGATTGAAGGGCTTGCTTGGCTTGGTAGTTACATCACTCTTGGTGTGCCAAGGGGTTAGGGGTCCAAACATTTCCTTGGTCACCTTGTTTTTAAAAAAAAATTCCAGCCACCAAAGCTACAGTAATGGCCACCGGAGGTTCAACCTCCAGAGGCAGCTACTTGAACACCGGTGGCCGGACTCCGACGACCATTAATTTTTTTTTTTTAAAAAAGTGAGGGGTATTATTGTAATCTTACTGTTAATTTTAATTTCAGTTTGATCTCTTGGTCCTGCAATGATATGTCAGAATGTTTTGGGAGTTGAATGATATAAATTCTCACCTGTGATCCTTAAATGAAATTTTCTCTATTTTTATTCATACAACCACTCTGGTCCTATATATAAATTACTTGTAGGAGAAAATTTTGGTTATAAATATAAATCACTTATAAAGTATTTTTTTTTCAATTTTACCCCTGTTAAATACAAAAAAAAATATATGTGAAAGAAAATATTCATCATATTTAATGAAATTTTCTCTATTTTTATTCATACAACCACTCTGGTCCTATATATAAATTACTTGTAGGAGAAAATTTTGGTTATAAATATAAATCACTTATAAAGTTTTTTTTTTCAATTTTACCCCTGTTAAATACAAAAAAAATATATGTGAAAGAAAATATTCATCATTTTTTTTTTCAATATCCTTTCTTTAATATGGACAAGTGTAAAATTTTTTATTAATTTGATACATTTCTTGACACGCGAGAGAAAATCACAAGCGACCAGGGTGATATGAATTAGATACATCACCCACCTTGTTAAATACTACCTTCAGTTTTTAATATAAAAATTAGTTAACCAATTTGAGTAAATTAAAAAAAATTATTAAGTTAGTTAATTATAATAAATAGGTATTGCGTTCTCTAAAATACTTTTGTTAATTACGTGTATTAGTTAAAACTATTATTTGATAGAACTTTTAACATGTGCAACTATTACAAGAATTACTTTAAAAAAATAAATAAAGATAACATATGAAATAAATTAGGGTCTTATATTTAAGACTAAATTAAAATTCAAACTAACTCTTATTTTAAACACCTGAAATAGTATTCACTAACAATACTGCCGCCAAAATGTTTTTTGGAAAAATTGTAAAAAAAAAACTGTGGATAGAAAAATTATGCACAGGGACTAGTTTACAAAAATTATTGTCAAAACTCATATTATTGTTGTCAGAATCCATACTAATATTATCATGAGTCCTAATTTATAATTTTTCTAATTTCACGGTCTTTATCTATGATGTTTTCAAATTGTTTTAACTAACAATACCGAGGTACTTGTAGAATTTATCGCCACTTAGAAAATCTTTGGTTTAACCCAAATTCATATTTGAAATGGGCCGATAAAATCATATCCATCACAAGTAATAATTTGGTCCTAATTGGAAAGTTGACCCAAATAACTATAGAAAAAAAAATATTGAACCAAATTTAGTATGCGCCTTATTATTTATCTATCATCCTAATGTCCCTTAAAAATTAAAAAATAATGTTCTTTTAGGCCAAACATAAAAAATAATGCTGAAGCATTGTTTTCCTGAAGTTCTTGAAGTGTTCTATTTTTAGAGCATTTAATTATTGATGCAGCTGGTCTAAAACTAAAAGAATGCTATGTTAATTAATTGGCCAAAAAATAATGTTATTAATGAGGGACTTGAATGAGATTTTAGAAAAATTCTCACCCAGCGAATTGTTATTCTCATTATTTCATACCTATATTTATTGAATGCAGAAAATCTAGATTCGTGAACTTCAAAGCTTGCAATAAAACCTTTGCTCATTTAAAACCTAAAAGATAGGAGTGAGTACATTCATACTTATTTCGAATCATGAAAGTTTAGAGGGTTCTACAACCGAAAAATAATTAGAGAGTTCAATATTATTTAATATTATTTATTTTGAAAGTATTTTGAATGTGTGGTTACAATTTTAATTGTCAACTTGGATGCAATAATTTTATTAACGTATAAAAGAAAAAAGTTAAAACATGAGTCATTTAATTAATCTCTAATCTCTACAGCTTTCTTTTCTTTATATACAAGAGATATAATAATTTAAAATCTTTCTGAAAATATATTTTTTCTAACAGTCAAGCTTTGGTGAAATAGATATACTAACTCATATTCTTAATATAAGATCTAGTTAGTAGTTGTTTGTAATTCAATTTGAATTATGAACTAGGTTTTATATTAATAACTAAGAGTAGCATTAAATAAATAAGAAAAAAATTGAACAGAACCTAATAATGAAATGTGTGGAGAAAGATGGAAAAAAATCTAAAAGAAAATTGCATTGGACTTAAAAAATAGTCGTGCGTTCGCACATGATTACGGTTTTTGATTAATATAATCCTACAAATTTTATCAGTTCAACTCTATGAATTTGCCACAAATTATTGATGGATAAATTCTTCATCACAAATTGGCCTTTTCTTTTTTTGTATTGTACACACTTTATTATTATTATTATTATTTTTGTAAACAAGGGTTCCGCCAAAGAATTGATTAAGGTGGGGAAACAGTGGAAATGCCAAGCCCAAACAATAAAGAGAGGCGGAGGCGATGGCAGAGGCCAAATTAAAGTCGATACTTTATTGTGATATTAATGTGCAAAACTTCGCTTGAGATGAATAAAGTCCACAGTGCATTCACAAGACTCATATGGCAATAACTAGCCACACACACACACACAGAGACACATATAAAGATGCCAAGCCCAGAAAACTTGAGTAGCAACATAGCTGTTTAGCAGTTCCTGAGGAAAACATAATGAGAGAAAAAAACATGAGAACTTATGAAGATACGCATGTTTCGGTTTCTCTTCCTATGAAATGTTTCATTGCTTGTCTGCAACTATGTTTGGTGGTAAAATCAGTTGGGTCTTCTTCTTCAAGAAAAAATGTGTCAGGCTTAGCTCTTTACGTATTTGGAGATTCCACAGTAGACCCAGGAAACAACAACAACATCAACACTCCTTTAAAGAGCAATTTCCCTCCTTATGGAAGAGATCTGCCCAACCATGTTCCCTCTGGAAGATTCACCAACGGCAAGCTCGCCACTGATTATATTGGTATGCAAGTTTTCATTACATTACCATTTTTATGCCCCTCTCTCTCTCTCTTCCCCTTTCTCTCTCTATGTGTGGGTGTGTGTGATACATGGTACTACTGACTAATTGAATTCAAGGAATGCCTGAAATGAGAGTGAATCTCTCTCTGTGTGATATTACTTTTTATCTGCAAGATTCAAACATACGATCTTATATGATTCTTTGTTAAGTTCTTTATATATATAGAGAGGGAGAGAGAGAAACAGAGAGAGAGTGACTGTGTCTGAGAGTGAGAGATAAATTATGTTGTCTGCGTGAGTTGTGTGGTTTGGAATTGAGGTTGATGTAATTGAGGATGTTTGTTGTTTGTGCAGCTTCTTATGCAGATGTGAAGATAGAGTTTGTGCCACCTTACTTGGAGTCAAAGCTTGATATGGAGGAGCTCATGAGTGGAGTTAGTTTTGCTTCTGCTGGTTCTGGCTTCGACCCTCTCACACCAGCTCTCTCTGTATATTTTCCCTCTCTCTCTCTCCCCCTCTCTCCTCCTGACATCTTTGAAACATTTATCATAAGTGGTTCACGGAAATGAGTTTGGGCTCCATTTGAAGTAAATTCGCCAACTGTACAATGAACTCACTCATTGTATATACAGAAACACGTTTCAAATAAGCCACTAAACCTCCTATCCTAAATATCCTATTTGAGTTAAATCACTAATTTGTAGATATTAAAAATATTAATTTAGCTCTTTATGATTAAAAAAATATGTAGTTAAGTAGTTTCCTTAAAATACTTATTTTAATCATTTACATTAGAAATTGAAAAATCCCCTTTAATATGAACAATTATTATGAAACATTTAGAACAAAATTATAAATTTAAGAGACAAAGTGGGTTTGAGGTATTATATTTACAGTTAAAACAACCCCTTATACTCATTTTTGTATTTAGGACGAGAGAGAGAGAGAGAGATACTAATTATCTTTCATAGTCCTTAGCAATACCAATGAATAATAGGCATTATTAATGGATGATTTATAAGTATATTTGTAAAAGTTCTTTGAGCTATGAAGCGTTCTAACCTTAATTAATAAGCACTGGACTCATTTGAACTCGCATGAAAGTGATGGCATGTGCAAATAACTTTGTTTTCTGGTTAATTATTTCAGAATGTAATCTCAATGCCAAAGCAGCTGCAATATTTCAGAGAGTACAAAAAGAGATTAGAGAATGAGGTTGGAAGAGAAAGAACAGAAACTCACATTCAGAAGTCAGCATTTCTGGTCAGTGCAGCAACAAATGACTTCGTCGTTAATTATTTTTTGGTCCCATTTCGAAGCAAAAGCTTCAGTGTCTTCACCTACCAGCAATTCTTGGTTCAACAACTCAAAAGCCTCCTACAGGTTTGTCCAATACACCCCCACATGCGTGTGCATGTCATATTCATATACATATACATAAACATGTTATGAAGACAATCTCAAAGAGAGTGCCGAAAGACTAAGACTTTAGAAGGAAGAGTTTCTTAACTCATAAATATCACACTACGCTTGCGGCGCTTCTCTTGATGTGAAGCTCATAAAAATGGGCCCCCTTTTGAGGGCCAATGCCTCTAATAGGCCCACACTACAGCACTTTACTTAGTCTCTAAATACAAGTTTAAAAAAAATGTCCGATCACAAAATATTAACTCCACGCCATACCTCCAGTTTTAAATATAAAAGTTAGTTGATTAATTTAAGTAGATTAAAGAAATACTCCTCTGGTCCTATTTATAAGGCACTTCCAATATGTTTCACACAGACCAAGGAAAACCTTAAATTGCATTAACTCTCCATTAAAATATAGCAACTTTTCAACTTTACCCCTATTTAATATATACTCCTTTCAAAAAAGATAACTACTTACACTATAATAAATGAAGGACAAAATAGTACATTTACACTGAAAAGTTAATGAAGTGACTTATAAATAGGACCAAAAAAAACCTTCTCTTTCTGCCCTATAAATAGGACCAGAGGAGTAAGTTAAGTTCGTTATTTATAATAAATATGTGTTATTTTTCTTAAAATATCATTGTTAATCAAATTTATTAGTTAGAACTACTATTATTAGAAGAATTATCTTAAAAAAATAAATATAAGAGATAAAATAGATTAAAATCTTATATTTAAAATCAAAACAAAATTAAAACAAAATCTTATATTAAGTACTAGAGGTAGGTATTATGATGTGATTGAAGAAGATTCTTTCAAAGTGGCCGAGGAAACGGGTTAGGAGCGGGAAAAAAGAATAAAAGATGTAACAAGATTCATGTGTGAGAGGGACGGATCATGTGAAGCCTCTGTGGTACGAGTTTACCCAAAAAGAATCGAATTCTTGTGATATGTACCTTCTGTGTTTCATTTTGACTTCACTCTACATTTAATCCTTCTAATTAATTTTGAATTTAGCATTAATAATTAAAAAATTTATAATTAATTCTTTGTGGTCTAAATAATTATTAATTTAGTCACCATAATTTGTTATATTTTTGTCACATTTATCATGTATGCAAGTTAATTTTATTTTGTGATGTCATTTTTATTATCATAAACCACCTTAGTTCAAAGTATTTAAAAATATACATGATAAGTTATATAAATATGCGTAATACATATTCAAAACCCAATTAATAATGACGAGATAGAAAAAACATAAATATCAAAGAGTTGATTCTAAAATTTTAAACTATAGAGAAAAAATAACAAAAATAAACGAAATCATAATAAGAAAAACCAAATCAAGGTATTGTAACTCTTTCGAAGGAAACATATTATAGAATGCTTCTCATATATAACCATAATGAATTCTAATAAGATTATTTGAGACACCTAATAAGAAAAACAATATGCAATAAATAAATAAATAAATATTGTAGACGAAGATAGTTCAATGGCAGGCCACAATATAGGAAGCGGCCAACATAATACATACATATATATATGTATTGTTATTTTCGGTATGGACTGTAAAGTAAGGCTCATGGAAGACCCTACCACACCCACCCATTAATGTTGGCAATTTGCTTTCCTTAGTTCACACAGGATATTTTTTCAGTACCAAAAAAAAAAATCAGGATATTTCTGGCTCACTACCCCCACATCATAAGTATTGCAACTTAGTTTACATGGAAAATTGTGAAAAAGTACCGCCTAAAGGTGGCTAAAAGTTGTTTAAGGACTCTTGTGCAATTTATCTTTGGTTGGTGCAACTTTTTCCTTCAACAGTCTCCAACCTATTTTTAACTATATATATGGGTGTGTGTGTTTAACTATATGTGTGTGTGTATACATGCATATAGCTGAAAATATATTGTACATAGTCACGAAATATCGAGTTTGCACCTGTTGAAGATGATTTGCAAGCACGGACATGGTCCCTAAGACACCTTTGGACAAATCATTTTCCACGAAGTAATGTTTCAGCAATTTTTTCCGTTTTTTTTTTTAATATCTTCATCCCTCTACACACATACAAAACTACTTAGTGAATTCCCTTAGCTGAGTTAACTCCCTTCAATTCCTAACATAGAATTTAGATATATAACTTATATAAATTAAAACAATTAGTTAAGTTAGATAACTGCATGTATTGCATGAAATTTCAAGATAAATAGTACTACTTCCAGCTTTTAATATAAGAGTTAATTAAATATTGGATTTAATCCTAAATATTAATTAATTTTGTATCTCAAATTTATAATTTTTTTCCCTAAAATATTTCTATTGATTATAAAAGGTTTCTTTTAAAGGATAATTTCCATACACATAATTGGAAAGGATAGTTTAGGCAAGTTAGCATATATTTGTTACAAGTAACCAACTTAACTAATTTTCTTAACCTCTCCAAATTAGTTATCTAGCTCTTATATTAAGAACCGGAGGTGATAGTAGCATTATAATTAATAAACATTATTAGGATCTGTTTTATATATTTTGTATTAAGTGATAATGATGATATAATGCAGGATTTGTTGGTAGAGGGTGCTAGGGAAATTGCAGTGGTAGGGCTTCCTCCAATGGGATGCTTACCAATTATGATAACTATGAACAGCTTTGGTGGGGAAAGAGGCTGCATTGATAAGTATTCCTTAATTGCAAGAGATTACAACCAAATGCTTCAACATGAATTGCAAATAATGCAACAACGTTTCTCTAATTCTGGTGCTCATTTCTACTACGTTGACATTTATGGCCCTTTGGCTGATATGATCCAAGCTCCTCATAAATATGGTTAGTACTCCATTGGCTCTTTGCTTTTTCACATTATTGTGTGCGGAGCATATTACTCCATCACTTCCTAAACTATTGTCATAAAATGTATAGGCTAAATGATCCATATAAATTAAAACAATTAGTTAAGTTGATTATTTATAAATATATATATATATGGATTTTCCTAAATTAACCCTTTCTGAAAACTACCTTTATTGAGTATGATATCTGCAATCAGTAGAGTTAATTTAGCGAAAAATAAAATGTGAAACATAAAGGAGATTGAAACTTAAAGCTTATTTGGATTAACATTTGTAAAAGTAACTTTTATTTTAATTACATTTTACAAACTGAATTTAGAATAAAAGTCAATTAGAATAGTGTTGAAACCCCAAAAGGTCCAAGAAATTGCCTTTTAGATGTAATGTGGATTTTAGAAAAAGAATTATTTGGCTCCAATGCCAATCCAAATATAATTTTTAGAATCAAATTGGCGTTTGGAATTACAAAAGACAATCCAAATAAACATTCACATTTATGCCCAAAACAAACATCTTAATTAACTCCTACATTTATGACTGACAAGTATATTAATTTATTTACAAATATTTAAATTATGAATAATATAATTCATTTCTCAAATTCTGTTTACAACACCACTAACCAACACAAATATAGTTTTATAAACATGTCATTGATTTTGTGTTTTTGTTGGGGAACATGAACAGGTTTTGATGAGGTAAATAATGGGTGTTGTGGGAGTGGTTACGTTGAGACATCATTTTTGTGTAACGACAAATCGCCGGCGTGTCCTGATGCTTCAAAGTATGTGTTCTGGGATTCTATACACCCCACAGATAAGGCCTATCACTACATCTTCTTGGCTGCTCAATCCACCGTTGATTTCATCCTCCAACGCCTCCAACAACGACATTAACTTCCATTTCTTTCCCCCTCTCTTCTTGCTGCTTAATATTATATGGCCTGTAATTATTGGGTTATATCCTCATGGAAGTGGTTTGACTGTATCATATAAAGATTATAAGAAAAATATGTACTTTCTATTGACGGAATAAGAGAATTTGCATGTCATTTGTTGAGTTGTGCATGTTTACACTGTTGTTAGGGATTTATTTCGCCATACGCAGGAATTTTAGTCCAAAAACCGTATATGATTGATGAGGGATTGGAGTATTGCAAACAAAAGGAGAAAAAAGAAGGAAGGAGAAGAAACACCACCACAATATAAAATAACTTGGATTAACACGAACAATTTTGATAGAGTAATCTGGGACTTAGGTGCTAGGAAACACAATACAATTAGACTCAATAATAGTTTTGGGGTTCATGAGAATTATTTTTAATCAAAATACTACCCTATCTCCAATAAGATAAATTTTGAGATTCATTAGACACCGAGGGAAGTAAGCTAATACTAGACTGCCAGTTGAAGATCAAGTTACTTTTCTTCATCATGATGCCTTTGGGAATTATCCTCAACGATAGTCAAGACAAGAGGATGGGACACTTAAGTATAATTGAGAGCTTGAGGATAGAAACAGAGACTATAGAGGAATGACTGGACAAGAGAAAGCTGATTCTGATTAGCTAGATCAAACCATAGAATCATTGGGTTAAGCTGACTACAAATGGAGCCACACAGCTGAAGGGCGGCCATGCCTATAAAGAGAAATTGAGTCTCTGCGAAGCTGGCAGAGACTGAGACTTGCGGCTTACCTTTAAGCATACCTATAAAGGGGCTGACGAGTGTACTAATTGGTGAGCCAAATGGGGAATCAAGCAAGATATTGGGCACTATACATGAACTACACCGACTAAGGACCTTCATCAGCTACTATAGGAAGATACTGGAGGCATAGAGAGGCCACGCAAAGTACTTATTTTATATTTTTCTTTCAAAACTTAAGTCCTCTTTGTCACCCAAAAAAAAAAGGAAATCCCTGTATAGCTATAGGTGCAGTTGTTTGCATCGGTATAAACATTGCACCCTCTGTCCATGTCAACGTTCAAGCTTTTCTAAGAGGATGTTTGAGATAAGAGTATAGAAGCAACTCTTTTCTTCTGCATAAGAAATAAGATTATTTTTTTCCTTGAGAGATACAGAATACTTTTCATCCACAAAATTACTTTTTCCAATTCTATTTTTCTTTCTATTCTATTACATCCTCTGTAACCCAGACCACCTTATAAGTTTCACATCTATTCTGCAGCTAGCTTTTGTGAAGCCGTATGAAAAGGAGAGCCTCCTCTCATTTTCGGACTCAGTCCCGATGTTTGCCGAGGTTTGAAATATCACTAACGTAACAGAGGAACAATAGTTACTTAGCATTTTGGGAAGCTTGGATGTCGGAACATCATCTAAAATAGGAATATAATAAGTCAAAAGGCAGTGATCAGGCAAAACCCTGGACTTACAATTATATATTCCCATGTAAAAGGGAACAACAAATAAAAAGTTTGTCAATGATGATTTATCTATAGTTGAAGTTCTAATCAGAACTTCAACCAATGTATTCTTCTGTTGTTCAGGAATAAGTAAAAGACACAGCTACAAGCAGATTTCTTAGCAGAGTCTTCGGATTTCTATGTGTGCACAATACAGCATCATTGGAAGACGACTCCATACTAATGCCAGAAGATGGTATAGCCAAAATCAGGAGAGCTACCAGGGAAAAGTAAGAAAGTAATGCTCTTCTTTGCAATCAGGAAGAAATATTAGCTTTTCAAAACGGATCCAATTTCTGCCTTCATAGTCCAAAGGTCAAACTTCATACCTTTTTCATCAAAGCAGGACAACCGCTGCATCAAGATTCTGGTGCATCAGTAGATTTCCTGAATGTGAAGGAATTGTCAATGGAATCGTTATTTTCATAATCCCAAATGCAATCGTTTTTAACCAAGATTGAACTCACTTTGGAGTTTGTGAATCAAGCTGCATTGTAACTGGTCCATCATTAACCAAACTGACCTTCTCACCATCAAAAGTGCAAGGATAGTTAACACGTAGCCATTAAACATTAAAACCAGCACGGGCATCATCACAAAGAAATTGAATAACACAAGCTTACCTTCATCATTGCTCCAAAAATTCCATCTTCAAGAATATGAAGCATCTTAAAGCCAGAATATGACATAACATTAAGTTTCAACATATTTACAAGATGCATTCAAGGAAAGCGGCGTATATACATCACCAAGACTCCTTAAAGGAAATTAAATATAAATAGAGAGAAGCAAATTTTCCAATGACCTAATGTAAATTGAATTACAAGACACAAAGACAACGTTGACTAGTCATCATGATAATCAGCAGACTCACCGTTTCAACATAATTAGACATGTGACAAGACGAATTATGTGTTTCCAACGGTCGTTAATACTAGACCTAAGGACAATGGAAAAGGAACAACTTTTAAGATAACTATAGCTTGTCATAAGCTATGAATGCGTTCAACCCTAGAGAAGATGCTCAGCATCAAATCCATGAATCATCACACTCAATATGCAACATTCACTAACGAAGTTGGCGTTCGCTTAACTCAGCAAAGGCAAATGCTGAACTGCTATTTCTTTACCCAGAAAATTAAAAAAAACAAAAACAAAAACAAAAACAAAAACAAAAACAAAAACAAAAACAAAGCAAAACAAAACAAAACAAAATTAATGCCTCTCTCTTAACTTTATCATTTCTCACAAACAGATACCTTCAGCTGATAAATGAATTAGATATATCACCCGCCTTACTAAATACTATCCATAGTCCTTAATATAAAAACTAGTTGACTAATATGAGCAGATCAAAAAAATTTGCTAAGTTAATTAATTGTAATAAATAGGTGTTTTCTTCTCTAAAATACTTTTGTTAATTACGTGTATTAGTTAAAACTATTATTTGATAGAATATTTAATATGTGCAACTATTACAAGGATTACTTTGGAAAAATAAATAAAGATGAGAGACAAAATAAATTAGGGTCTTATATTTAAGATTAAATTTAAAGTCAAACTAACTTTTATATTAAATACCAAAAATAGTATTCACTAATAGTACCGCCCGCAAAATTTTTTTTACTAACCATGCCGAAGAAATTGTAGAATTTATCGGAACTCAGAAAATCTTTGGTTTAACCCAAATTCATATTTGACATGGGCCCATAAAATCATATCCATCATAAGTAATAATTTGGTCCTAATTACAAGGTTGACCCAAATTACTATCGAAAAACAAATGTGGAACCAAATTCCGTATGCGCCTTATTATTTATCTGTCATGCTAATGTCCCATAAAAAATAATGCTTTTTTTTTGGCCAAACATAAAAAATAATGCTGAAGCATTGTTTTCCTAAAGTTCTTGAAGTGTTCTATTTTTAGAGCATTTAATTATTGCATGCAGCTGGTCTAAAACTAAAAGAATACTATATTAATTAATTGGCCAAAAAAAGAATGTTATTAATTAGGGACTTGTATGAGATTTTAGAAAAATTCTCACGCAGCGAATTGTTCTTCTCATTATTTCATACCTATATTTATTGAATGCAGAAAATCTAGATTCGTGAACTTCAAAGCTCGTAATAAAACCTTTGCTCATTTAAAACCCAAAAGATAGGAGTAAGTACATTTATACTTATTTCGAATCATGAAAGTTTAGAGGGTTCTACAACCGAAAAATAATTAGAGATTCAATATTATTTGATATTATTTATTTTGAAAGTATTAGAATGTGTGGTTACAATTTTAATTGTCAACTTGGATGCAATAATTTTCTTAACATGGAAAAGAAAAAAGTTAAAACTTGAGTCATTTAAATAATCTCTAATCTCTACAGATTTCTTTTCTTTGTGTACAAGAGATATAATAATTTAAAATCTTTCTGAAAATATATTTTTTCTAACAGTCAAGCTTTGGTGAATAGATATACCAACTCATATCATTAATATAAGATCTAGTTACTAGTTTAGAAAATATATTAATTAGGGACTTGTATGAGATTTTAGAAAAATTCTCACGCAGCGAATTGTTCTTCTCATTATTTCATACCTATATTTATTGAATGCAGAAAATCTAGATTCGTGAACTTCAAAGCTCGTAATAAAATCTTTGCTCATTTAAAACCCAAAAGATAGGAGTAAGTACATTTATACTTATTTCGAATCATGAAAGTTTAGAGGGTTCTACAACCGAAAAATAATTAGAGATTCAATATTATTTGATATTATTTATTTTGAAAGTATTAGAATGTGTGGTTACAATTTTAATTGTCAACTTGGATGCAATAATTTTCTTAACATGGAAAAGAAAAAAGTTAAAACTTGAGTCATTTAAATAATCTCTAATCTCTACAGATTTCTTTTCTTTGTGTACAAGAGATATAATAATTTAAAATCTTTCTGAAAATATATTTTTTCTAACAGTCAAGCTTTGGTGAATAGATATACCAACTCATATCATTAATATAAGATCTAGTTACTAGTTTAGAAAATATATTAATTAGGGACTTGTATGAGATTTTAGAAAAATTCTCACGCAGCGAATTGTTCTTCTCATTATTTCATACCTATATTTATTGAATGCAGAAAATCTAGATTCGTGAACTTCAAAGCTCGTAATAAAACCTTTGCGCATTTAAACCCAAAGATAGGAGTAAGTACATTTATACTTATTTCGAATCATGAAAGTTTAGAGGGTTCTACAACCGAAAAATAATTAGAGATTCAATATTATTTGATACTCCTCCGGTCCTTAATATAAGAACCATTTAACTAATTTGATTAGATTAAGGAAGTTAGATAAATTAGTTAATTATAAGAAATGTGACACGATTTTCCTAAAATACCATAATCATTTTTCTTAATACCCTTATTTCTCTTTTACTTGATTATAGTTGAGAGAGTATCTATAGGGATAATTTAGATAAA